GATTAACTAATAAGATTTCTAAAAGCTGCTGCCTGTAATTAACTAAACAAACACAGCCTTCTGTTTTACTTGGCGCCCTGAATGCTGCAGTATGTGCAAGAGCAATTACTGATTATTAACTTATAATCACAGAAAATCAGGCTCATGTCTTAAGCTGGCAGCTTGATCTCTACTTAATGAATATCACAAAACTGCACAAAGCACATGGCATCGACTAGAAATGGCAAAAATGTCTAGAACTGCATCATATGCTGTGGATGAAAAACTCTGTATTGTGTACATGCAAGCGGCCAAGGATAAGTGCATGATTTTTTCAGTGCTGGTGAAGGTTCAGAGTCATCCAGGTCATGGTAACCCAAAGGTTTTAATGAAGGCATCAGAACTTCTTTGGTTTCTTCAAAACTTCTTTGGTTTGCTTTCAAGAAACCAAAGAAGTTTCTCAGTGGTAAAGATAAATATCCACGGGAAATTTTCATTGGTCCAAAGCATTTCTTTCATTTACTCTTTTCTCTGCTGCTGCTGCAGACCCCATGAGTGAACAGTAGTCAAGTTTTGACATGAGCAGGTCTTCAAATATGGAATGCATTGAGACCTGAACACAAACAAATAGGATTTCTGCAATCAGGCCTACTGTGCACTGCTAATTAAAAGCAAAGGGGATTTTTTTCTACTTAACCACAAAGCAGGAGTGGTATACACGAGTAGCAGAATATCACTCTATTTCCTCTCCTTATAGGGGACATATTACACCCTTTTATAAACAAATAATAATATTTCTCTGAATCGATAGAAAACACGTTTATGAAGATTTTTGTACTAAATCGGTTTTGCAAAAGCGGTCTCAGAAGTGTTTTTCTTTGCAGTTTCAGCACCTTTCAGAATGAGTCGTTTCAGGGCTCTGTGGCCACGCCCACTTATGGCCTAACTGGTTGCAATGAAATGAGGAGCTTGGATATCAGGAAGGTGCTTGGAGTGGTGCTGCTGCTCCTTCGCATTCAGAGCAGAAGCGCCTCTAAGCGCCAACATGTAAAAAGGGCATTTTATGCTAGTTTTCCTTATTGTGATGTCACAATAAGAGTCCTTTTCAAACGGCTCGTAGAAGCACAAGAAAATGTATGGACGGCTTTTATTTCTGTTTGAAGTGTTGACAAAGAACGCAAAACTTGAGATTTGCCTAATGTGTCCCCTTAAATGGTTTTGATGTGAATGCTCAGTAGTTTCATTCGTTGGAGGGGGGTCTGGTTGGAAATGAATGTGAGGACCAAAGCAATGCATCTAGGCCATTTGCAGAAGCCCCCCCCCCCCCCCCCCCCCAATAAACCACTCCACTTTTTGCAGCGCTCCTGAGGTGCTGATAAAGAGTTCAGTTAGGCTATTGGAGCTTAGAAGCTTTTATGGGATCAAGTATCATGCCTAACGAATTAGAAAAATATTAAATGGCTATTCTAAATAACTTTTTAAAAAGAAATATTGATTAGAGTTAATCACTTTGGATGAACACCACCACCTAGTGGCCTGACATGTCATTTGTAGAGACATATGGTGGATGTGTTTCTTTACATTAAGTCTCTTTATTTAGCTCATTAGGATGTAGAGATGCTGGTCTTAGAATATCACAACAAAGTTGATGTATTTTAGTAATTCCATTCAAAAAGTGAAACTTGTACATTGGATTCACTCATTACACACAGACTGATATATTTTAAATGTTGAAAATTCCAAATTCTGTATCTCAAAATATTAATTAAGAAGGATTTTCAGAATAGTTGGCCAAATGAAAAGTATGAACATGAAAAGCATGAGCATGTACAGCACTCAGTATTTAGTTGGGGCTCCTTTGGCCTGGATTACTGCAGCAATGCGGCGTGCCATGGAGTACATCAGTCTGTGGCACTGCTCAGGTGTTAGAGCCCATGTTGCTCTGATATTGGCCTTTAACTCTTCAGAATTGTTGGGTCTGGCATATTGTATCTTCCTCTTCACTACAGCCCATAGATTTTCTATGGGACTAAGGTCAGGCGACTTGATTGGTCTGGCCAATCAAGAACCAGGATACCTTGGTCCTTAAACCAGGTCCTGGTAGCTGTGGCACCGTGTGCATGTGCCAAGTCCTGTTGGGAAATGAAATCTGCATCTCCATAAAGTTGGTCAGTGGCAGGAAGCATGAGGCGCTCTAAAACTTCCTGGTAGACGGCTGCGTTGACCTTGGACCTCAGAAACATAATAGACCTACAGCAGCAGATGACATGGCACCTCAAACCATCACTGACTGTGGAAACTTTACACTGGACCTCAAGCAACATGGGTTCTGTCTCTCCTCTCTTCCTCCAGACTCTGAAGTTGATTTCCAAAGGAAAAGCAACATTTACTTTCATCCGAGATCATAACTTTAGACACTCAGCAGCAGTCCAGTCCTTTTAGTCTTCAGCCCAGGTGAGACACTTCTGACGTCGTCTCTTGTTCGAGAGTGGCTCGACACAAGGAATGCAACGTCTTGCATACGTCTGCAGGGGCCCCCAACAATTTTGTCTTTGCTAAGGTTGTGTGGTTAACAAGATTTCATTAGAAAAAATTACATTAATAAAATCCCAATAACATACTCTACAGTATAATCAGAACTCCATATTTAAGTTATACCTCTGTACAAAGATGGTAAATGATCACATTTAATGTGTGAATGTGTGTAGGACTTGGGGTTGGGGGTCCTGGCTTGTCTTGGATACGAGCAAGGGGGTCCTCAAAGAAAATATTTTGGGAACCCCTGGTGTAGCCTACAGAACTAGACTGAGTGACCATTTAAAGGCGTTTGCAGGTGTTTTGAGTTAATTAGCTGAGTGTGGCACCAGGTGTCTTCAGTGTTGAACCTTTTTACAATATTCTAATATTCTGAGATACTGAATTTGGGATTTTCATCAGTTGTCAGTTATAATCATTAAAACTAAAAGAAATAAACATTTGAAATATATCAGATGTATACAGAATATATCTGTGTGTGATGAATGAATCGAATATACAAGTTTCACTTTTTGAATGGAATTACTGAAATAAATCAACTTTGTCGTGACATTCTAATTGCATGACCTGCACCTGTATGTCTTTTACTGAAAACAAAATAAACAAATTAAATATTTTTGGTATATGAAGCAATCATCTTTCATGTCAAGTTAAGCTGTAGACAGAAGTATTTAGATTGATTTCCTTAGTCAAAAATGTCCAAAAGTTACTGTATAACACGTAAAATCCTGTGTTCCTATGTTTTGGGAAAGTGAAGACCATTTGAACCCATTCAGCTGGACTGAAGCCAAAAATGAAAAATCCATCCATCCACACACGGTCTTTGGGTAGGTGTAAATTATTTATCTCGTCGACTCCCCCTGCCTCATCCAACGACTGGGCAGTTGAACTGGGGAGCCAAAGGCAATGCACGGGCCAACGCTCGTCATCCGCAGCTCCTGTCTCCTTACTGAATATGTTTATGTTTATTCATTTTGCAGATGCTTTTATCCAAAGCGACGTACAATTTTTATAACCTATAGGGCATGTTGTGATCTGTGGGGGAAACCGGAGTACCCGGAGGAAACCCACGCATGCATGGGGAGAACACGCAACTCCACGCAGAAAGGCGAGTTTTGAACCTGCGACCTTCGTGCTGCGAGGCAACAGTGCTAACCACTGCGTCACCATGCAGCCCAACTGCCCAATGAATACCAACTTGTTTCAAGAGTTGTGACCCAACTTGGTCTAATTGGCCATTTTATTCCTCTATTTCTGCTGCAGTATTGTACAGGATAGTGTTCCAAGGTTGATATTCTTAAAAACATATATCTACTTTGTTCTTTGTTCCATGTCACCAATGTTTGGTCTACCGTATGCCACTAAGGAGTTCCCAACCGGTGTTGGTCCATCCCCATTAAGAGTCAAAGAGCGAGGCCAGGTGTTCCTGTGCGACCCAAAAGGCCATTTGAATATTAAAGATGACCACAAAAGCAACAAAAGACAACTTCATGGGAGGGCCACACAAATGAAAATTCTGCTGAATCATTACGCTAACTTGAATGACATAGATGCATATTTCATGATAAAGACACAAATTCCTTGTAGCTACATTTAACAGTAGCATTTTCCCAGCAGAACTTGCACCGTGCAGCAATCACCAACACACAGGAAGAGCAACTGGAATAACAGAGGACCATTATTCACACAAGTTCTTCCAGTGCAACTGTCAGTCTATCCAAGCCAAGTTAATTCTGGCTGTGTTTACATTCCTGAAACTGGATGTGATGCTATCTGGTACATGAGGGAGCAATCTTAGGGAAGAACATGTTTAAGAGGTAAGCTACCATTATCTCATGAATCCGCATGACTGAATAGCCTCCAGTGATGCGTCTTGTTTTCACCTATTACTACGTTATTTACTCAAACATCTGACAGAAGAAAGTGCACAAATATTTCTTTGCACTGTTGAAAACTACAGGTCCACAGAAAGACAAATTTCAACGAGACCACCCGAATACCAGCATTTCACAAACACCAGGTTCAGGGGGCTGAAGACAGACCTGTCCAATCACAAGCACCATCTGTAACCTCAAAAGTTTCAGAACATTTGTAAGTTTGTTTTAAGAGAAAGTGTTTTTTTTTGTCTGTGATGTTACATTAATGCCAGATGCTTAGACCAACTCCATCTGCGGCTGGCGATTGCAATGATTTTCATGGGTATTTTGTTGAAAATGTTTCTCTTAGAGCTTCGTTTTCAGGTTCTGTTTCAGAACCCGTGCTACCAGTCCCGCCCCGAGCTACATTGACCAGTTTAGATCACTGGAGGGTTTAAAAAGTCGCCTGAAGACTCACTTTCATCACTTGGCTTTCATGTATTTTATTCTGTTTTAACCCTTTTTGTAACTGTCCTGTTATTTGTCTGTTTTTATTTTTAAGTGACAGGATCAAAGGGGATTTTATGAAAAGAATCAATGAAATGAAGGAAAGACGAAGGAGGAACCTACCACTGGTGACTTTCAGCACATGTAGGGTTCAAGCTGACTGCCTCCTGGCCAACTTGTTTCCCTAAATGTTTGAGAGAAAAATAAGATATTCATCTTTTACTAAAATCCAACACATGTTCTCTACCACAGAGATCGTTTACACGACAGACTAAAACACAGCTGATTTGCTCAAAGGATGTGTGAACAGAGACAACGTTACATGACATCAACTGAGGAACATCAAAGAGCTTTGGAACAAAGTAATGAAAACAGACGTTGGGCCAAACACAACTCAGGAAGAGAGCTGACATTCACAACTGTCATCACTCAATGCAAAGTGTGTATTTCCATCAGCTGTATTAATATCTTCTTAAAATATCCCACTCACTCAAGTCCTGTGACACGAGAGTCTCCAGAAAGCACCAGGCCAGCTTTGATTAGAGGCACATGGATGGAAAGGGTGTAGAAACACTAGTCGGTCCAGTCTTTACTGTGCAACAATCACAAAATAATCTCTGTTCATTGATGAAATCCCCTGAAGTCTTCAGTTTCAGCTCAAAAGCAAGAAGTCAGATTGTGTGTCGGACCACAAAAGCTTCTGCCAAGTTCTGCTACCAAATCCACAATGCACCAGACCCGTCGTGTTCCTCCTGCAGGTGGTGGGTCCACAGGTAGACGGGGCCACGTAACCATTTTGAGCTGAGTCCGACGGGCCTAGCCATCAGGCACCCAGCCCTGGTTCAAGGGCGTGACCCCAGTACCCCTCCAGGCTGCTTTTGCTAAACAACACTGATCACAAGTCGTCCCATTTGTTTATAAGCAACCATGAAGAAGCCTAAATAGTGCTGCCATGTTTGATTTAGAGAGAAGCTTATATGTTTGTAAATGTTTCCTTTTTGGTTCGTTGACACACTATAGTTATTTCATGGTCGCATACACTTACCCTCTTATGTTATGAAATCTGTTTTATCTTTTCTCAAATTCTAATATTTCCTTTGTTATTGTTTTCAACTACACATTTCTGTTCATTATTTATTAATGAAAAAAGTGAACAAACAAAATTTCACACCAGAGCTCCAATAGTAATTACTGTTATTCAGCTTTCAAATAAAACAAAGTGCAAGGCCTGAAAAGTTATTACCCATTTTTTAAATGAGCAAAAATACAATATTGTTTAAGTGCAAAATGACGATTAACTGTGTTTTGCAGATGTTTGAGAACTACAAAAAGCGAGGAGTGATGACATCAGAGACGAGGAGGAGAGAATGGAGTGGACGCGTTCGCTTATGTCGGGTTTAAAAAGGTCTGCAGGAATCAGACAAGTGGACTTGGGTCTGCTGAAGGTTTTTCTTTTTTCCGTTTGCTCCGAATGAGAGGATTGCATTGATATGATGTTTGAATACAATCTTACGGTACAATTATAAAGCATGTACAGTGGCTCAAAGAGGGTATTAGACTAAACTACAAAATAAAGACGCAGCGTGCAAATACTGAATGAAGCATTCGATGAAATTACCGTTTTCTGCATGTCTTTTCTTCTCCTCCTGTGCGGAGCTGATGTCATGAACGTCACAGTAAGCTCTTGCAAGCCGCCAAAGAAACGCTGAATTCTGTCCTAACTGGAGAAGTTCACAACAAAACATTAACACAGGCTGCCACACCTTCAGCTACAGAAACACACATCCATACTAACTTCTTCTTTTTGCTCCAAAAGGATGTTGAGACTTTCTCTCTTCTCACAATCGCTGCCCAGATGTAAACGGTCAACTCTGTCCAGGAGGAGGGACACCTGGACTTCAGGCAGTTCTTCACAACTCTCTTCTTCCTCTCTGGGCTCTTCCTCTTCAGAGTCAGTCAGTGCAGTGATGTACCTATAATAGACACACAGTAATGTATTCAGACTGAAGTAGCTGCCTAAAATCTGCCAGTTTTCACTAATTTCTTGTGCTCTACGGTAAAATATTAGTCTTCTTGTGAGGTGGACTGAACAAACCCCGACTGAGCTGTTATTCCTGCAAAAACAACATTAGAAGCAATAGAGTCATAACGAGTATTTTTGTGAGCCACATGCTACCAGGCACTGATTATGAAAACTTCACAGCATGTTCACACAAAAAACGGCACCATAAGTGGGTAATTTCATTGTTTATAATTTTTGAGCTACTGACGTCAGATTCCTGAAGAGTTTCCAGGAACATAGAAGGGCTTGTTAAGCAAGGTGAGGCACGCAACACTTGCATTAGATGTTTTATGGTGCTTTTTCAACCCCGTCAAGGTTACACTGACACTCTCAGCTCACACTTAAGAGGCAGGGGAAGAATTATAGATGTAATAAAGTTATAGGTGAAAATAAAAGACACAGACACAATGAAAAGCCTCTATTAGCCTTTGGCAGCAGCTGAATGTGCGTCATTGGTGGTTAAAAGAATAATTTAGGCCGTGAGCCGTGGTTCAGCAGGGATGTGTCAGAGCGGGCTGCAGACAGTAACTCTGTGGACCCAGCAGGTGTACGACAGACGCACTTTACTGTGGTCACAAAGACAGGACAGGTTATCCTCCACGTCTCTTAAAATGACCATAATGACAGTCTGTGGGAGGAAATCACAGTACCTGCACAAAACCCATGCAGCATGCATGGGTAGGACATGTTAACTTCACACAGAAAGGCTGCAGCCAGCATTTGAACCTGCAACCTTCTTACTGAGAGGCAGCAGTGCTGCCAACTGTGCTGCAACAGATGACGTAGTCACAGCCATAGATATGTATAAATAAACACTAGATGCCTCGTCCCCGCTGTTCGCCAATAGGATGTGACGTAGGAACGTGGCGGCCATCTTACCTCAGACAGCTGCCCCCTTTCTTGACATTGGGGTGTGTAGTGCATGTACTATTTAAATATCTCTAAGTTGCTCAATTTTCAAAAGGTTTGATTTGTTATAAACACCAGAGATGTGTCTATGAATTAGAATGGGTTTGGCCCAGAAATTCCTGTTATTTCACTCCACCAAGCATTTAATATTTCATAGATAACACTTTTAATTGTAAGCTACAGTAGCTTAAAGTATACATAACCTGTTATATTATATAGATCTATCTATCATCTATCCATCTATCCATCTTCCTGGTTTGTGAAACAGGATGTTTAGAGATGAGATTTCAAGGTTCTTTTGAGGTAAAGCCCACATAAACAGAACACAGATACAAAATGTGCGTCCCAACAAATAAGACAACCAACACCCAAATCACATCTGTCAGCCAGAACCGGCCCACCAGCAATAAAATTTCATCAGGCTAATTATTTTGTATTTTCACTATTT